GTGCCTGCATGTAGGTAAGTGCACCCATGGGAGGTCAGAAGAGGCTATCAGATCCCCTGGAGCTGGAGTTACAGACAGTTGTTAGCTGCCATGTGGGTGTTGGGATTCAAACCTGGGTCTTCTGCAAAAACAGTCAGTGTTCTTAACCTCTGAGCCATCTCTCCAGCCCCATTTACCTATTATATTATTATTCATGTGTTACTGTGCACCCTAGGCAAGTGCTCTATCCTCGAGCTTCCCCGGTCCTCAGCATATGTCTTACTGTAGTCCTCAAACCACAGGACACCCAGTCAAGGAACCAGTTCTACAGTTACCCTGATGTTTTCCTGTTTGGATGCCCCCTTGGCCAGGAGCTCATGCCTCCATAGTTTGCAGTCTTCTTTCTGTATTTTACTGTTTTTTTTTGGTCTTTTTGGGACACTGTCTCCCTATAGCCCTAGCTGTCCTGGAACTCACTATGTAGACCAGGCTGGCCTTGAACTCACAGAGATCCTCCTGCTTCTGCCTCCCGAGTCTCGGGATTAAAGACGTGCACCACCACGCCCAGTACTAGTTTTTAAATTATTAAAAAAGTCTGCTTTTTTGAGGTGCTGGTTATGAATACTCTTTTGAAACAAGATCTCCTGCATTCCAGGCTGGTTTTGAACTCCCTATGTAGCCAAGGATAGCCTTAAACTCCTGATTCTTCTGCCTTTACCTCTTGAATGCTAGGATTACAGGTGTGTATCACCACACCTAATTTATGTGATCAAGGGGATCCAATCCAGTGCTTTGTGCATGCTAGATAAGCATTCTACCAACTAACATCCCCTAGGATATTATTTTTTTTAAACTTTATTATTTTTGGTTTTTGAGACAGGATCTCCCTATAGCCCCAGCTGGTCTAGAACTTTCTACATAGACCAGGCTGGCCTCGATCTCACAGAGATCTGCTGCCTCTGCCTTCTGTGCTGGCACTAAAGGCGTGTGCCACTACAGCTTTGGATTTTATTATTTTAAATTATGTATCGCTGTGTGGGTGAGTATGTGCATGTGAGTTCAAGTGCTTGTAGAGGCCAGAGGCATTGGATCCCCTGGGAGCTGTAGTTACAGGTACTGTGAGACACCTGGTGTGGGGTGCTGGGAACTGAATTTGGATTCTCTGGATGAGCAAGCAATAAGTACTCAACCACTGAGTCATCTCTCCAGCCTCCTAGAATATTCTTTTAGAAGATGAAATTAAACCAGTCACTTCATAACTCCTACCTCCTGTGACACAGAACTTGGATGTGATGGAGCCTTGCTCTTTTAGCACCCAGCACTTTCCCTCTAACTTCTAGTATCTTTTTTGAGATTGTGGCAGCAACACTATTCTTTCCAGCGCCCAGATGTTAGTGCCGTGGAACTTCCCGGCTTCCTTTAGTAACCACTGCCTCACCTCAAACCCTCTCACCTCAGTGCATTTCCTCTTCCATTTAGGTTTGATGCTATATGGCTGCCATGCAAGTCCCCAAGGTGTCAGACTTACTCTGGGGAACTGATGCCTTCAAACCCCTTGGCAAATGCTGGTTTTATTTCATCAGAGTGAAGAGGGTCTTTAACTCAGGACCAGTGTAAGATGCTGTAGTAAGAGATTGGACCTAAGCAAAGAGGGGTTTGCTTTTCTTAGAAAAAACCTCTGCCTTCTCCAAGCAAAGAGATGCCCCCAGAGTCAGGACGGTGGTTTGTCAAGCTTGTCTCCTAGGACCTAGAAGGAAAAAGGCATTTAGTATGCACTTGGTAATCTGTTCATAGAACACCTGTTATCAATGGAGGGAGGAAGTGGAGTGAAGGAGAGGAAGAGGATGAGGAGGAGGAAGAGTAGGAGGAGCAGGAGGAGGAGGAAGGGGGAGGAAGAGAAAGAGGAAGAAGAGGAGGAGGAAGAGCAGGAGGAAGAGGAGGAGGAAAATCCATTTCCCAAGGATCTTTTCCCCTTTCTAGTTCTAGAATATCAAGATTACATCTATAGTCCAACAGTTTCACCAAACTTGGGAGGTAGAAACTTGGTTTCTCAAGCAATTGCCTCACTCGTTCTGGACCGCGTTTACTGTCATTTGGAGTCCCCTCCTCAAGCCCAAGCTGTCTTTAGCACAAATTTTTTTTTATTTGTTGTTCACTTCATCACTCTCCCCCTCAGTACCCTCACTCTCTCCGCTTGTCACCCCAGCCCGCCACCCACCCCGCGTAAAGCCCAGGCCCACTCGGGACACGCAGGCCCCACGACCCCCCTCAGGGAGAGGGCGACAGGCCGGGCTCGGTTTTGTTCCAATGGTCTGTGCAGCCAGAGATGCCCGTTTCCCCAAAGGCTGCCCCTCATTAGCATGAACGGGGGTGGGGGTGTGGAGAGGGGTGGGGGGAGCGAGGGCGAGCCAAAGCCCTGGCTGCCTTAGAGCCCGGGGAACCCTGTCCACAAAATGACAGCTAGAGCCCTCTGGTTTCTGTGTCTGATCGTCGGATCGTCGCCCGAAGCCTCGCTGGTGGA